GAAAGGACGAGCGTGTTTGATTTGACTAGGATTCGAACCCGCGACCCGCAGATTGCGAGTCGAGCTCCCTAACCACCTGGCCATGCCGGGCCCAGGTAAAGCAATATGACAAACTCATACTATTGTAGCTATTATTCCTTCCATATTTCTAAGTTCAGTAACCATTTCAGCAAAACGTGACCCACCTACTACCATGACTACTAGTGGGAATAGTGTTTTATCAAGACAATAATCAGTTCTTTTTAATCATACAGTATTTGTGTTCAGGAGCCATGAATTTATGGCTAATGTACATGAATACAAGTCCTACTCCGTCTTGCAACTGTACTTACACTGCTCTAATTTCATCAGTATACAATAGGAAATTGTTGTCTTGTCCTAGAGATGGCAGCACTGGAGCATACCTTAAAGCAAACTTTAGTGCCTAGAATGCTTCATCACAGTCCTAGCTTTTATCCTAAATGCATCTCAAATTTAAAGAGAGCAGACAATGGTGCTGCTATATTGGAAAAGTTTACCACAAACCATTGGTAAAAACCTAGGAAAGTGTGTTTATTTGTTTTAGAACAAAGCCACATTAGACTATCTCCTCTGTCCACCACGGAGAAATCGAACCAACGGTTTTAGAATTGTAAGTCTATATACTTAATGCTGACCCACCTTAGGACAGTAAAGTGTGAACTTTTGGTTTGATCAAAGATGAGGCCAGTCTCTTGTTGCTGCTATCTGTAAAAACTCTATCTGCACTTACAATATGTCTGAAAAACTCCACTTCTCATGCTTTTTTAGATTATCAGATGCAAAAGAACATGCAACCAAACATCAAGACATCGTCAACTTAGACCAGGGATTTCTCCAATTGCTGCTCCTTCAGTGTAAGCTATATTAACGTCTTGAAAGTGGTGGGCCGTTGATACAGACCTCATACAAACCATCTCTTGTGCTAAAAGCAGTCTTATGTCATCTAGCTTGACTTGGCAGAACCTGGATAACAGATATAAAGTGTTGAATTAAAAGAAACCTTCCAGCTCTTTCAAACATTCATATTTGTGTAATAAAGGAAAGGGGTAAACGCAAGTTTCTGTACTCTCCCATCTAAAATCAACAAAGAATCTTGGTGTACCTACCTTCTTCCTGACAATCACTGTTGGAGATGACCAAACATTTTCCGAAACTTGTATAGCTTTGTTCTTCAATATTCACTGCATTTCAGTACTGACCACTTTGGTAATGCTTCAGAGAAGCCAACATTGCAGTTGCTTTATTGGAAATATGTTACTTCTATCTATGGTGTGGCGAGTCACTGTTATTCCACCAATTGACCATATGTTGTCACAAATACATCAGCATATTTAACCAACAATTCAATAAGTTGTTTTTCTTGCATTGGGTTTAGCTGGTTTTTACAATCCAAAATCATTGAGCTGAAAGGTGTTGTAGCTGTGTACTTGCTTTTGGCCGTGATGCAACATTAGTGTTACCGCTAGTCTTGACTGCTTCCACTTTGCATATTGCACCTATGAAATTTCAGCCTAAAGCTGAATAGCCAATTGCCCATAATTATTAAACAACACTGGGACCTCGTCCTTCATTAGACAGATAACTGTCCGAGCTAATGTTGCCTGCTTTTTTGAACAGGAAACAGTTCATTTCATATTCAGCTTCTATAACGACATTACACATAACCAATTCACTACTCAGCATCTTTAGTAAACCATAGAACACCAAACTAATGTATAAATAGATATTATTATTCCCTCCACTATATTACTCGTGCATTCCATTGCCCATGAGCTCGATCGAGATGACATTAGATTATTCTTCTGTGAAGCACAGTTCACCAATTGTTCAAGTATAACTAACCTGTAATTTCTGCAATACCTTCTGAGTATGACAATGCAGTGGTAAAGCTTCGAGATTCCTGCCTTCATTCTTTAAGCAATATTTTCTCGATAGTTTAATCTATCGTCATTTGCCACAACAAAGTCCATATCTGTTGGCCAAAATTGTGGTGTAACTTGGAGGGGTTGGTATATTGCAAGATCTAGTAGTGTTCCAGCTGCTCCTGTGTCAACCAGGAACTTAATATTTAGCTCTCCTACCCTCAGAGGTATGTGCCAAGCTCCATCCAATCTTAAAAGAACTGGACCTACCATCAAACTGTTCAATGTAACTTATAAGTCATGCTCTTCCAAGTCAGTGAGCAAGTCCAACTTGGGTTATATTAGTTTTCCAGAGCTTTTTCTGTAGCAGCTCTAGGAAACCAAATTCTGTTGGTTTTACTGGACTTGTTAAGTCATTAGTCAAACCAATAGCTTGTCTAATTTACTGTTCAGCAAAGTACAAGCACTGCTGGTTCTCGAATACCTGTTCAGCTATTGGTTGAAACTGATAACTTCATCATCTTTGCTGCTTGGAAAAGTACAAGCAGATCACTCGACAGTAACCTAATAAACCATAAGTGCAGTTGATACTTTGTTCTTCCCGTCCTAGACAATGTCTAGGTAGAGGCTTCATCAGCAAAGTGTGAAGCATCTAAGCCATGGGAGGAATGGGGTAGCTTGTCAATTTACTGGAAATCAGTGTGGTTGTATTAGAGTGCTGAGAAGTAACTGGTTAACCTTCAACCTGACTCGAGCTCAGAGTTACCTGAGTAGGATTGTCTTTGAGATATTTAGCCACACCATCTGTCACTGCAGGCTTCTTCTTCTCAAGAGATCAGCTTGAAGTTGTCGCTCCATGCCGTTTCACTATGGAAACTTCCTCAGTTAGAGCGAGAATATCCTTTTGGCCCATATGGTGTTTCTTGGTCTCGTTAAGTAGTACATTGACAAACTTATCTACCACTCTTCATGATACACTAAAACCATTACAAGGTAAGCTTTACAGATTGTCTGGGGAAGCAGACGGACTCAGAAGTGCTGCTCTTTCAAACCTTAAGTAATGGGGGCTATCAGCAGGATGAATTTTGAATAATTCTGAATTTCTAAGCTGACTGGATTTTAAGCTAAGAAATAGAGAAACTAGACACAATGTCTAACACAAAGTGAATTTTTTTTTTATTAAACCAAAGACACAAAACACGGTGTACGTGCTGGCATTTAGACACTGGACAGTTGCCTTCCATTGGATTCGTGAATTTATTAAGGACACTAGTGTAGTCTACATTATTGTACAACGTACAGCATCACAACAGTAAATTGTCTGGGAAGAAGAAATGGGATAAGTCAGTGAACTTATGATACTTATGTTTCGATACCGCGGTGGTGAGAGCATAGATAATCCATTGTGCAGTTTTGTGCTTTACAACAACAGAAAACAAAACAGGACTGATATTATCTCTAAAGAACAAAAAAAGGTATGTAGAAGTCAACTTAATGTTTTCTAGACCACGTGTTATGCAAAGAATATATAGATTCAGTTTGTTTGTTTGTTTGTAATTAAGCACAAAGCTACACAATGGGCTATCTGTGCTCTGCCCACCACTAGTATCGAAACCCGAATTCTGGCGTTGTAAGTCCGCAGACATGCCGCTGTGCCATTGGGGGGGGGGGGCATATAGATTCAGAATACACGAAGAATTTTGTGCGTGCATGCTACGTTTACCTAATCTCCATTCAAACATCTAGCTTATCTTTAACATATTTAAGAAAGTATTTTTCAGTTAGAAATTAATATTACCATATCTTTCCCAGATTTGTCTTATTACTAATTTTAAAACACGGTTTTATCGGTGACGACATGTTATTACAAATAAATGTATTTACATCGGACATTTTTACATATCTTAGTATAAGTTTGTTTAGAATTTTCGCGCAAATCTACACAAAAGCTATAAAAGAATAGCCAACCATAATTTTGTGCATCCGTTGCCAACGCATAGGCTATTGTTGATCGACATAATAGTGGAATTTGACCGTCACTCTAACTTTCCCCTCAGCACAAGTAATGTAACACGATTATACATGATGCATTTTTTACATTTTTACTTCCATAAAATTGCGTTAAATAATGTGTTATAAAGAGGGCGCTACATTTCATTGCTATGGCGGGTAAAGTAGAAGATCGTGATCTTCGGCAGAGGAAACATAGTAAACGAAAACAAGAACCTAAACATGAAGTTACGAAAAAGATCCGTAGAAAAGTTGATGTAGCGAAGACTTTCTTACCTTTTGAAATGAAGACCTTACTTGTAGCAGTTTTAGGTAAGAAAAAATGATTTATTGAGTGCAAATGTAACCAACTAACACTCGCTGACTCGACCACAGTGACCCAGTCTGGTGACACTGTCACACTTACAGTGTCAGTCACCCAGTGAAATCTCACAACTGTAAGAACAAATATTTACGCTTTAAGTATAGGCGTAAACTTAGTGCTAATTAGATATATAACTATGGTAGGCATGAGCTTCCGGTTTAGTTTAACCATTTCACTAATTTTGAATTTCCGGACAAAACTTCAAAAATATACAATATCACAATCTTATCCTTTCCTAAATGTTTACATTACGATCGTATGTTCGGACCACAAGTCCACAGTACCTTACATCATTACAAACATTTTAATCTAACTTGGTGAAAGCCAACTAAACAGATTTATAGGTATTAGAAATTTTGTGTTTAATGCAATTTGTAATTTTTTTTATGTAAGTATAATATTAATTGTATGCTTAAGTTTTCAGAATATTATGTTTATTTGTGAATTTCTGGTTCTCTTTCTCAGTATCTGTGTGAACCATATTTAAAATAAAAAGTTGATAGAGGTAATAACTAAATTACATATTAAGTGATAGAAGATCATTCAATACAACATAGTTGCAGTACCCCCCCCCCCAATCTACTTAAATAACAAAAAGAAAGTCAACAGCAAAAGTATTTGAAGCCATAACTCCATTATAATTTATAGTTATACCTATTCAACAGATATTCCAAATAATCTAAATTAATAACACAGAATGTTGTCAGAAAACCATTGCATAATTTTATTACTTGGCTAAAATAATTATAAAAATACAAGTTATGAATATGGGCTTACAGATAAAATTGAGCAATCATATTTTTAGAACTAAGGGCAAATGTGCCTAAACTATTCCATTCACGATTTTATTTTTACCATAACAGCAATAAGATTTAACATAACCTTCAGTGTCTGTACTAACATTTGAAATCCTAATATTACCTTCTATAGAATTAAAGAGGAGTTAATGTAACATTACCTAATTGTGTATAAACAAAGATGTTCCTAATATTACCTTCTATAGAATTAAAGAAGAGTTAATGTAACATTACCTAATTGTGTATAAACACAAATGTTCCTAATATTACCTTCTATAGAATTAAAGAGAAGAGTTAATGTAACATTACCTAATTGTGTCTAAACAAAGATGTTCCTAATATTACCTTCTCCAGAAATGAGGATAAGATTTACCATAAAATTCTGTCTTCTGGGATCTTTGAATAAGAAAAAACAACTGTTAGAAGTTCTTCATAGATTACCTCTGTTATAAGCTATGTAACCATCATATATTTATATCTCATGCTTCTAATTGTTTAATTTGTCTCTTTAATCATTATCTGTTAAACCGAAGTTTTTAAATGTGTGCCTAAAAAAATTACAAACATTAATTTTCTTGTTTCATCAGGAAAATGTAATTTGTGAACCTATATAAAAATCATGACATGAATACTTCCACTAATTGTTTTAATGTTGTTCTTTGTAGCTCTCATCTGTGGAGGCTTAAATAGGTGAGTCACTGGTCTGTATTTTGAGATAAAGTTCAGTTAATTCTGGATTTGTAATTAAGTTTTACGTAAAATACTTAAAATTTTAATGAGAAATACTGCATGCCTTAGAAAATTGAAAGCACTAATAATGACTTTGTCAGTATCAGCAAAATTACTGGTTTTGTATAGCCTTATATATGTTTTAACATGGCAGCACTACAAGATGCCAGGTATATCAATATACTAATAGTTATATTAATTAAAGATATATATCTCACAGAAAAGAAGCTTGTTTGTTTTATTAAATTTTCTCTGACTAATAAAATGGTAAAATGTATAAAAAGTTAAAGATTTATTTGATATATGTTACTTTTCCTCTGACTTCTGAAGTGTTAGCATTTTTATGTATTATTCTTATCTTTAAAAATTGCCATCAAAATAGTGTTAACTTGAAGAGAAGTTTTACTATACATCGTAGGTTAATTAGTGGACTTAAAATGTTAGTAATTGTTGAAAAACGTATATTAATACATAAAAAATTTTTACGTGGGTTAGACTGTGATTACTTGTCTTAAGTTAGATGTGCCCTTTGAAGTTAAGAAGAAAAACATTTAGGTAAAGAAGATGAAGGTTATAGAGGGTCATTTGACCCATTCATTATGCCCCTTACCCACAAAAAATAAGCAACCAGAACATCAAATCCAAAATAAATGCAGACACTTTTATATCTGTGGGACAAAAGGGTTAAACTGGTCTTACCTAAAATGAAACACCCCACAATCTAAACCTATTACTCCTTGTTTTCAATACATGAATCAAAAAGTTTGTTTTTTTTATTATATAAAGCTACAGATTTTAGTGTTATAAGCCATCAAACTTAGTGCTGACACTCAAAAAGACCAAATTTCATCCATCTTGAATAGCTGTATCATGTCACCCGCAGTTATTCAGAAAAAAAGTAATTAAGCCTCTCGTCGTACCTCATATTGTTTAAATCAAGTAATGAGTCCCATGTTTCATTCTTTTAGATAGTAAAGAGACCAAAACTGTAAAAAAAGTGTTCCAAGTTATTCGTAACTAGAATCTTGTATAAGGCTATGGTAGCTTAATGTCGTTAACAGTGAGAGTGAAATTGATTATAGGTAATATAGTTCGAACGTTACATTTAATTAACTGTACCCAATACTACCAGGTGTATACTTTAGATCTATGTGGGTAGATTACTGTGATCAGAAATTTTGTATTTAAGAGATGGTATTGCCTCATACCCCCCAGTGGAACCTGCCCAGTACAAATAGGTCATGTGACCCACTAGCTTCGGTATAGTATGGCAAATCTGGAGTAGCTTGTGGATAATTTTCACTTTTCGTAGTCAATCTGAGACTTTCAGCTTGTTAGGGTTATCATGGAGTCAGTATGGAATGTAACTGACAACATACTGTCTGTTTTTTTCTTCAATATAAAACAGTCTGTAGATTCTAACAGCTCCTGTGTCAAGTGACACTTGTGGTTATTTTTCTACAGACAGTATGCTACACTTGACTAAAACCCTCTGTATGTTTTTATGTTGTTCTGTGTACTATATCACATTCACTTCTGCTCTCTCTCTTCTTTTTAATGTTGTCGATTTTTATTAATTATATTTTACAAGTTTATTTGATCATTATAGGCTCGTGCGTTATAATTAAAAAATGTTCAATTAACATTACTCAAAAAAGTTAAACTTTGGTATTGTCTAGAAAATTTCTTGATAAATAAAAAAAAATAGCATTTTATGTAATATAATTTTTGTGCTTTGTGTTATTTGCATGAACTTGAAGCATATGTTTTACATTAGACCAAAATAAACTTCACATAAAATGTGATTCAGAGATAAAAACTATTATTCTATTACTTATAGCTACCATCAGTACACCATGTTTGAAAATGATCGACATTTTTCTCATCTTTCCACTTTGGAGAGAGAAATGACTTTTAGGACAGAAATGGTAAATATTGTACTTATATCTAAGCTGGAAAAGAATTCCTGAAATCATAAACTTGTAGATCACACAGAATTTTAACAATTAAACATTTTTAGAAATGTTCAGTGTTGGATAAAAAAATTAAATCTGGTGTTTCGTTACTGTGATAGAAATATTTATAATTCTTAACAAGAAACAAACTTTATTATCAAAAGCAATGAAGAAAATTACTTGTTTTGAATTAACCACTAAAAAAAAAAGTTAATTCTTGTCTTACTTGTTGATTACTTAATTTAATTTTATACAAAAATTCCATCTATCATATACCCTAGCACACTGAAAATTCAATTAATGCAATAATACGATATCTTAAATGTTCTTAAAATTTAATTTGTTGTCACATTAATCCTTTTTCACCATAACTGGAAACTTGTTTATTTTATGTCTAGTAATTATGAGTTTATAATTCAGTAATTAATATAACTGTTAAGGACCATAAAGGTTTTATTTCTTAGGGTTGTTATTTTGTATATGCTTTTCATAGCGTCCGGTTTACTGTGTTTAATTTTACTGCAAATCTTCAATGGATCTACATGTTTCAGAATATTACTTCTGTAATAAAAATCTTGAAATATATTCTTCTGTACCTTCTTTTGCAAATTAAATTAATTAGAAATGTTACTTTAAATAATTAATATGCATCACCATAACTGCTTTAATCTCATTTCATAAAGTTTGTGACTCTGAAGACCAGCACAAATGAGAGACAAATTAGTTACTGCGTATCTAACTTCTAGTACTTTCTAGTAGTACTAGTACTAACTTCTAGTACTTTCTAGTAGTACTAGTACTAACTTCTACTACTTTCTAGTAGTACTAGTACTAACTTCTACTACTTTCTAGTAGTACTAGTACTAACTTCTACTACTTTCTAGTAGTACTAGTACTAACTTCTAGTACTTTCTAGTAGTACTAGTACTAACTTCTAGTACTTTCTAGTAGTACTAGTACTAACTTCTAGTACTTTCTAGTAGTACTAGT